AAATCTGTATCTGTAATTGTTGATGAAACCACAGATATAAAAGCATGTAGTGTAGTCAATGTGTTATTCAGTTATAGGAGCAGTACGAAACTTATTTCAGTAGAATTTTTGGAACAAGTGAACAATGTTACTATCGGTCAATTAATTCTTAGGATTTTGACTGAATGGTCAATTTCATATAGCTCCCCTTATATTTTTGTATCTGACTCGGCACAATATATGAAAAAGTGTGCAAAAGATGTTTTAATTCCAGTTATGCCACAGCTTAAGCATAATATGTGTTGTGCGTATATTCTGAATTTGATAAGGTCAGGAAATATAGAAGCAAAATAATTTTTCGGGACTATAGTCCCAAAAAGTCATTTTTGTTAAAAATTATATTATATTTTAATAGTTTATTGATTTTGGTTATTTATTATTTTTTTAATTCTATTTAGTGAAACGTTTATATCTATTGATCATTTTAATAATGTTAAGAAGCTTATCGCAAATATTAAAAAGACCATGGTTCATTCAAAAATACGATGCAATCGCTATATGAACTATCTTCAACGACATGGGCTTTTGAACTATAATCTAATTCAATCTGATATGGCTTTATCAAATCAAATAAACAAAAAACTATTAACTGCTCGATTTATGCCTCTTCCGAATACTACACGATGGAGTTCCTGGCTTGAGATGGCTTTTTACATTCATGATTATCTTGAGTATATTCATGGTTTTTATATTGAAGAAAAAGAAATAGAAGCTTCTGAACCTATTAATTCTATTGTTACTCTTTTTTCAAACCAAAATACTAATGGTTTAATTGAATTGTATCTTACTTTTATTCATTCGCACACACCCCAATTTATGTTAGATTTAGAATTTTTTCAAAAAGAATGTGAACCTTTCTTTCCATATGTAGAAAATCGTATTCAGCAGTTAGAAACATATATATATAATGGTATGACATCTTCTAATTTTAGTTCAAGTGTTAATTTTATTATTGAAAAATTTAATGCTTCTACTACTGCTTTTGAGACCATATTTCAAGCAGCATATAAAGCTGCATATACTAAGTTTTCAAATCATTTATCTAACCATCCGTCTAGAGCTTTATTTAAAGCTGTTCAAATTTTTGATCCTTGTTATCTTCAATTAGCATCAACTCATCGTAATATTCAAAAATATTGTAATGAAATTTCTCAACTTTCTAATCCATCTGTATCCCTTCTTCATGAATGGGGTTTGTATTGTAATTTAGAATTAGCTGAAATCGAATATTCAAACCTTGAGGATTTTTGGAAAAAAGTTTTGCCCATGCTTCCTCTTTTAAGTGAAATAGCTTTTGATTACATTTGGCTTCCAATTTCTTCATGTGCTATAGAGCGTAGTTTTTCTGTTTATAACAATATTTTGACTGATAATCGACACAATTTAAATACTGAATCACTTAAAATGTTAAGTATGATGTATTTTAATGCAATAAAAGAATAAAAATTTGATTTTATATAATCAAAATTTGTCATTATATTTGTAAAAATTATCAAAATTTATTGAAATATTTGTAAAAATAATTAAAATTTATTGAAATATCTATAAAAAATAATCGAAATATCTTAGAATTATCAAAATAATATTTGACGGTCCCTGATTTGCAGTTACAGGAGTTATCTGTTTAACTACTATGTTATACTATTTCTACCCTTGTAAAGTTCACTCAAACCCCGGTACCTATCATTCCAACTTCTTCTCTTTATCCCCCTACTATCCAACTCAGAATCTAACAGACTCCCTAAACTCCCAATCCAGATAGCCTGGTATGGTATACCTTAGTATCCTTTTTCTTCAGTGATTCCGGCGGCCTGGTTGGTTATGTGCTCCTCTACACATCTTTCATCTGGTTGCATGTCCGCCTATTCCTTGTTGGGGTTTCCTGGGCTTCCATCAGTCCGATAGCACTGTCGAAGGCTTGTGCTACTCTTTACTCGGGAATTTCCAAGTGGGCTTCCGTCTCCTCAGTTTTTTGGTCTTCTACATCCGGTGGACTTATCATGGGTTTGCACCGAAGTCTTATGTGACACCGATTATTAACATTCCTCTATATACGTATAATGTTACACTTCGCATAGATGCCCCGGGCTCCCAATGATGAGTAGAACCCGATTGGTTGTACCCAAGATTACAGATACCTAAATCCAACCGATCGACAAGAGACAGTTTTAC